ATAACATGATTATATCTTGCCAGCTCAATTGCAAATTGATGAAATGTTGATGCCAGTCTAGTACTGCGCTTAAATTCAAAAAGTCTGGGTACCATAGTGAAGAGTTCATCCAAACAGTTACCATGAGAGTATTTAATGAAAAGGCACAAAGGCAACTTACAGCAGTGGGAAAGTGACTGAAGCTGACCTGCCAGGTCAGCACCAATAATATTGCTGATCCTTCTTTGGATTTTATCAAGGAGCTCAAGGTAAATAGCAGGAGGGCTGGGTCATATGTGGCAGCAATATTCTAAGCATGGATGAATGGTAGATTTACAGATAAGTAAATTAGGTTATGGAGAGAATAATTGTTTTGCACAACAGGGTGAACTGATTGTCTTAGCAGCTGACCTAGCAATGGATTCAATATATTCTTTCCACTTCATGTCAGCTGAGAATGTTAGCTGTAGAAGGCGCAGTGAGTCACTCTGTAGGAAGTTAGTGCCAGCCATACTGATAGAATGCAGAGAGGGGCCTCTCAGATGATTAATGGAGAGACGTTTAGTTTTGGAGGCATTAAAATTAACAAGACAGGTTTTGCCCAAATTAACGACAGACTTGAGGTTGTTTTAGACATTGGCTGCCATTTTGACCTTGTCAAACTGATCAGCCTTATTATTGAGGTGGGAGTAAATGGTTGTGCAATCAGCCTAGATGCCATGTTGAGAGTTTATGTCATTAGGTAGGTCATTAATGAAAATTAAAAACAGTAAGACCAAGGCTGGAGCCCTGGGAAACACCTGTGTTCGTACAAAAGGATTTAGATGAGTGGCCATTCAGTGTAACTTTCATGTCACAATTTGATAGGAAAGACTGGATCTGTTCAAAAATGTGTCTGGAGACACTGTAACTTTTCAGCTTGTGAAGAAGACCTGTATATGCCAGACCCTGTCAAGGACTTTCCAGATGTCTGGGTTTCACATGATAGATGTCCAAGGTCTGGTTTTGGCATGATAGACTCTTTCCACAAATATTGTCATTACATCAGCAGTGGACCTGAAGAAATGAAAGCTATATTGCTCGTCTGAGAAAATGCCTTAAGGTAAGAGATGATGAACCAATTCAGCATGGATTATAAACTCTAGGAGTTTACCAAAAAAGGGCAGAAGGCTGATAGCTGGAAGGATCAGACAGTTCATCAGAGTTCTTAAAAAATGGAACAATAGATGATGACTTCCAGCAGGCAGGAAGGTTTCTAAATCATTGATTATCTTTTAATCATTCTGCCTCACCTGCTATCCTCTTTCACCGCACATATGAGGTGAGACGCACCATTTGGGAACCACTCAGTTAAATACTAAGATTTGTCTCTGTAAAGCCTTATCTGCAAGAAAATCTCACAATCCCAAAACATGCTCCAGCTTTAAATAACTTGGAAACGGTTGATAAATCATAAAAAATATCAGGTCATCCCATAAGTTCTATCAGAATTTTAACTTTCTGTTAAAATGAATGAAATTTAAAGAGTATTTTATGATGTCTAATGGAGCTGAACATTATTTTTATGTTTAGACGCATTTAAACTGATCAAATTTTATTTCTGAGAACAAAATTAAATTTTGTTTAATTAAAACCCTGCTAACATGGAAGTACCCAAGAATCATTTGAGGCACATAATGCTTTATGAGTTCAAGAAAGGAAACTCAGCAGCTGAAGCGGCTAGAAACATTCACTCAGTTTATGGAGAGGAATGTGTGAATGAAAGAACTTGCAGAAGATGGTTTGCAAAATTCAGAGGTGGAGATTTCACCCTTGAAGATGAAGATCGAACCGGACGTCCAGTCGAGTTTGATGAAAAGCTTCTTGAAGCAGCCCTTGAAGAAAATCCTGCTTTATCATTTGAGGAATTGGCAGTGGTTCTCGGTTCAAGCCATACAATTGTTCATCATCTTCAACAACTTGGAAAAGTTCCTAAACTTGGAAAATGGGTGCTTCATGAACTGTCTGAAAACAACCTCAAATCCCGAGTTGACATCTGCTCTTCTTTCCATTCTCGTCAACTTGTTTCACCTTTTTTGGATAGACTTGTGACTGGCGATGAAAAATGGATCTTTTATCGAAATGTTAAGCGTCGTAGACAGTGGCTCCGTAAAGGGGAAGGACCCCAGCCACAGCCAAGAAGGGAACTTCATGGGCAAAAGGTTCTTCTTTCAATCTGGTGGGATCGCCAAGGAATAATCCACTTTGAATTCTTACCACCTAATGCAACAATTAATGCTCAAATATACTGTCAGCAATTAGAGAGTTTGAACCAAGCTTTGAGGAAAAAAAGACCTGTTCTATGGAATCAAAAAGAGGTGATGTTTCATCAGGACAACCACACAGCAAGAATCACGTCACAAAAGATCAAAGAACTTGGTTGGGAGAAAATTCCTCATCCACCTTATTCTCCCGATCTTGCTCCTTCAGACTAACATTTGTTTCGTAGCTTACAGAATCATTTGGAAGAAACAGCTTTTGTAACACAGGAAGAGGTTAAAACTGACATTTGTGAGTTCTTCGAATCAAAGCCAAAAGAATTTTACAGTAATGGAATTAGTAAGTTTGTTAATAGATGGAAGGAAGTCATAGATAATCAGGGAAAATACATTGTTGATTGAATCTGTAATTAAATGTAACATTTGGTCACTTGTTTTCTTTCAAAATTTGGACAGAACTTATGGGATGATCTGATAAATTAATCAACTCGGCTTCCTCTTTTGGTCTTGTCTTTTGGTGTCCACCCAGTCACTCTGAAATAGGAGTTGACATGCCGTTAAATCCAACATCCATCCAGTCACTCTGATACCTGTTGTGTCTACAATCAGCAAGATGTCCTCCTCGTCTGTGTTTGTCATACCAGATGGTATTAGACAGAGCCTCTGGTTTAATGTCTGATGCAACTGTTTTGATTTGTTGGCACTACTTAAATAGACAGGTCCATCCATATTTTTTTTTTTTTTTTTTTTTTTTTTTTTTTTAAGTAATTTTTGTAGATTAGCATTCTTTAAGCTTTCCTTGGACAATGGCATTTGTCAACAAAAAAATATTATTTTTTTTATTATTATTTTAAAAGTTGGGTCCTATTGATAATATAATGTAAAATCAGCCCTCTGATTTTTACAGTGGTATTTGGAACAGTTTCTTTGGTGTGCTTTGAATGCCATCCTTATACTGTTCCATAGTGTTGTTGAATGCACGTTAGTACAAACACAAAAGAGGCTCCAAGTCATGTGCAAACAGATCTGTCAAAACTAGTTATGTTTGGCTTTTTCCTTTTAGCAGTAGAACATCTTGGCATGTCGAGATACAAGCTTCTCTGCAACTTATTTACAAATGTCTACTTTGAAAATGTAGTAATGTCATTGACATCTGCTTATCTTTTTTAATTTTCTGAATTATTAAAATGTTTTGATTTTTAATTTTTTTTTCAATTCAGAAGCACATGGATAAACATTTGAGATTCATAATTGTTTATCTTAAGAATAAATTTTTCGTACTTTTAAGTAATTTCTATTCTTTAATGATGCAGGTATATATTTGTTTTTAGGTAAAAAAAAATAATTTTAACCGTCCTCTGGGATAAAAAAAAAAAAAAATCTGTCTTCGTACACAAATCAGTAAAGTTCAATAATTCTGAAAAAGTTAGAGATAGATTTGACACTGTATCGATATTATAAATAGGACTCCCTTCTAAATTGATAATCAATATTTTTCAGTTCTGCCAAATGTTGCAGCTGAAGGAAGCTAAAAAAAAAAAAAAATAATGCACAAAAATTATTTCCAAAAAAATTTTTCTTAATCATTTCATCCTAAACAAGGCAATAAAGCCACTAAGATGCAAAATGTTATCTTTTATCTTAATTCCTATTCTGTTATTGTCCACTCTCCTTGATAGTGTTTTTTTTCCCCTTCTTATATTCTCTCATATGGAGTAACCGCTTGTGCCTTTGTAGCTTTATTGCCTTGCTTGGGGTGAAATGATTAAAAAAAAAAAAAAGAATTTGGTTGGCACTATGTTTGCCATTACTTTTTAGTTTGATTTGGTTGATTCATTTCCTATGACTTATGAACCTTTTGCAGCTTATTTAAAGCTAGAAAATATTTTTAGAATGTAAGAATTTTGTGGGGATATAATTAACTCATAGCTGAGTGGAGAAGAGATGGATTCATACCAAATCAGAATTTGATAAACAAACAAGAAATTGTAGATATAGAGTGGGGGATCAATTCTATATTACAATCACTATATAAAATACTCCCTCACTTTGTGGCCACGTTAATTTGTATATATTTACATTTTATAGAATGTAAATAAATCTAAAAGACATGTCTGTGTAGCTAATCTTAAGACTAAGAATTTTTTTTAGAGAATGGTTTTGTGATACAAATTTTACTAATTAACTCATAGCTGGGGGGAAAAGAGGGGGATTCATACCTAATCAGAATTTGATAAACAAGAAATCATGATGTGGACGTAAAGTGGGGGATCAATTCTATATTACAATCAATATATAAACTGATCCCTCATTTTGTGGTCATAGTGGTTTCTATACGTTTATATTCCACAATGAAAATAAATCTAAAAGATCTACCTACAATAAATTATAACGTGGCTATAAAGTGGGGGATCAGTTCTATATTACAGTCTATATATAAACTGATACCTAACTTTGTGGTCCTGGTTGTTTCTATACATGTACATTCCAGAGAATGTAAATAAATCTAAAAGACATACCTGTGTAGCTAATTAGTATCTTATTAATTGATTTTTTTTTTTTTTTAACAGCTTACGAATTATTTTGGAGATAAGATACAAGTCTTATTAATTAACCCACAGATGAGGGGAATGAGGTGAATTCATACCTTTCCTAAGGGTATTTGCACATCAGTGAATATAATGAACCTAACTGGAATTGGTACTCGGCTCTTCAGTTAACCATTCAAAGCTATTATCCATTACACCACCTGTGCATCCAAGTTTACACCACCTGGCATTCCCAAGCAGTCACCCATCTAGGTACTGACCAGGTTTAACGTGGTTTAACTTCTGTGATCATACAGGAACCAATGTTTCAACATAATATGGCCATAAACACTTTCTTTTTTAAGGCACAAATTAAATGATGATGTTTATTGCTTTGAACATAACTTTTCCATTAAATATTAAGATATGTCTGTGGATAGATGATTTTATTTTTTTTTTTTTTATGATAAAGTACACTTTCCCTTTGAACCGACATTTAATCTCCATACATACTAAAATTGCATCTAACATTATTTTTATTTGAAAGCTCTTTTGACAAAATTTAAAAGTAGGTAGACGAGTATTAATTTTCAGAGTTGTTACAAAAATTTTTTTTGCCTCTACAAATGAAATTAAGTCTCCTGGTTTCTTAGGTTCTTTATGTGATTTGACATGAAACCAGGCTTGCAGGATTCAATGTAAGCATTACATTTATGTTTATAATGTAAATACAGTGCTGATAACTGTATGCAGAAATACATTGAAAATCAAGAAGGCGATTGTCAGTGGCCAGGAATTAATGCAAGCAGTACTGAGAGAAGAGGGCTATTATATATAGAATATAAATTCATTACTAATGATTTCCTATAGGAATGCATTGAAAATCAAGAAGAAAGGTATTGTCAGTGGTCAGGAATTAATGCTAGCATTACTGATAAAATAAGACTATTATTGTAGAATGCAAACTCATTACTAATGATTTACTAAAAAAAAATACATTGAAAATTACAAAGAAAGGTGTTGTCAGGAATTAATGAACTCATTACTGATAGAAGCGGAGTATTCTATGTAGAATATGAATTCATTAGCAATGATTTATTATAGGAATGCATTGAAAATCAAGAAAGGGATTGTCAGTGCTCAAAAATTAATGCAAGCAGTACTGAGAGAAGAGGGCTATTATATGTAGAATGTAAATTCATTACTAATGATTTACTATAGGAATGCATTGAAAATCAGGTAGAAAGGGATTGTCAGTGGTCAGGAATTAATGCAAGCAGTACTGAGAGAAAAGGGCTATTATATGTATCATGTAAATACTATGCTGATGACTGTACTATAAAAAGGCATGGAAAATCAAAAAGAAAGGTGTTGTCAGCCCTCTTCTGTCAGTAATATTTGCATTAATTCCTCACCACAATTATATGTAGAATGTAAATGCATTACTAATGATTTACTATAGCAATGCATTGAAATCTGGAAGAAAGGGCTTGTCAGTGGTCAGGAATTAATGCAAGTATTACTGATAGAAGAGTACTATTATATGTATGTCAATTCATCAGTAATTATTTACTATAGGAATGCATTGAAAATCAGGAAGGGATTATCAGTGGTCAGGAATTAATGGGCACATGACTGATAGAATGGGGCTGTTATACTTATGTTTTTAAGCCACATATGTAATAATTCTGCTTGGAACAAATGTGATATTGCAATTCTGGCTTCAAACAAATTTTCTTTGTGATTCAAAAATAAAAAGATGTTTTTATTACATGAACTTAACTCGCCAGAGGCAAATGATTGACACACATCACAGACAATATTCTCGCATGAAATTTAAAATTGACTTTTTTTTTTCTGTTTTAGAAGAAAAAAACCATTTGCTTTTTAATGTGTACTTTTATCGTAAAAGTAGTAATAAAAGATTTAAAATAAGTTTTGCTATTAATGCATAGGATTCATGTTTCAGGCCATTATAACTGGAAAGCAACAATTAATTGAAGCCTCATAACTGATGTATGTCCCAGGCAATGCAGACCCTGATTCAGCAACTGATTCAGTCAAGGGACTGAATCAATTGCTGAATGACATAACATAAATTTTAATCTTGAGTTATATGCTCTAAGTAGCTTTCTTCCTCCTAGGAATGACCATATGTTGCAATTCACAATTGTAGCAAATATAAAATATATATGTGTGAAGAATACTGTGTTGATTACTACCACCTTGTATGCCAAGATGCTTGCTAGTTAGAACTGCAGTCAGAGCTATAAAAACAAGGAACATCAACCCACTTCCTCTTTTTTTGCTTCTGAATGTAGTCATAAAAACTACAGGACTTTTCTCCTACAGGGAGATTTCTTCACCTGGTAGGCCAACTTCTTAATTTCAATCAGCCATGTGGTGCATCACATGCATTTTCTAACTTTCTTTTTATCAATTCTTGACTATGTCTAAGTAACATGTATGTATTTAAGATTTATTCTGGTGTACCTTCTTGTTTTTCCTACATTTTTTCTTTCTTTCTTTTTTCTTTTTTGTTTGTTTCCAAATTGCTAATTTACTTAATTCTTAATCTGTTCTTTCATTACTACTAATTATTCTAGTTTAGCTTCCATTACTGTCCTATTTCTAATGGTACTGAATTTAATGCACCTCATCGTAAGTTTTCTAATTTTGAATATAAGTTGGCTGAGAAGAAGCACCTGGACACAGTTGTGAAGTGATTTTTTTTTTTTTTTTTTCCAATTTAAACGGTCAGATTAACCCCCTCCCCCAGTCTTGGTTTCAAATATGGGGAACTTTTCCTCATCTTTTTCTTCCCTTTAGTTTTATTTGTTTGCTACTACTATTTATTTTACTTATCTTGTTTCTCAAATTTTTCTTTTCTATGAGAAGTGATTTTAATGTCCTCCCCTCCCACCACCTCTTTGTTAGCATTTTAGAAAAGGGCATCAGGACTTTAACATTTTCTAACAGCAAAGCCTATAAATTTTCTCTTTGTTTTTTTGAGCTACAAATCTGCTATCTCTCTTTTTGAATTATGCCAATCTTTATCTGAAGATACAAGATCTGATCAAAAGTAGCAGAACTTGTGCTATAAAAAGAAAACTACAACATACATCAATTCAGCATTTAATCTCCTTTGAAGCAGTCCTCTTCTAAAGCCATACACTTTATCCAGCATTGTTTCAATTGATGGAAGCGTTACTGGAACTCATTTTCTGGGATAGCAAACAGGTGGTTCATTGCATTCTCTTAGATTTCTTCAATGTTTTCAAATCTTGTTCCTTTCAAGTAGGATTCGTTTTTTGAAGAGGAAAAAAGTTGCAAGGGGCATATGGGAATATGGATGATGTCAAACCTGAGGAATGTTGTGATTCACCAAAAACTGCTGCACATACCATGGTCACTGATGATACCGATGTTGTAATGAGATGATCAAACTTTACACACTTTTCTAAGCACTGTTATTATGGAAGTAAATGAGAACATAACTTAGTGTGTATGCACAACAGAGTTTGAAGGTCAATCTGTGCCAAGCAGCTTCACTCTGCGTACTTAGCTCTATTACCAATACCATGGCAACAGTTTTGATACTTTTTGATCAGACCATGTATATATAAAAACAAATTCCGCTACGTGTTGAAATTCATTTCTTTTGAAAGTGTTCCTTCTCAGCAGCAACAAGTCATAACGCCTCCCATTACAAACTTCAGACCAACACCAATCTCATCCATTATAATTCTGTAGTCATTCACGGCAATAGTTATCTTGTTACAACTTTGGAAAGTATCTTATAATTTATATCTTGCAGTCATGAAGATATGTGTATATTTCTGAGATGAGATAATTATACTATTTACGTTGTTTGGTCTTCTGTCCTCATATTTATTGTCATATTCACAATGTTCCAGCCTTTGTACATTCTGATCTTCTTCAGGTGATTGGAATTTTGAACTGAACCCTTTATTTTGTCCACTAATTCCATGTGCCATGCCTCTTCCAGATATCTCATTCTCAATTATTTCTCCACTCTCCAAGGTCAATACCTGGCCACAGCAAAGGTGAACAAAACTTGGAGAGTTGAGTTACTAATGGGAAATAACTGAAACTGATATTTTGGTTTGGTTTGAAATTCCACTCACCTGAAGAAGGCTGGAGTGTACAATGGCTGAAATGTTGTGAAGAACACAACAATGTAAAAAGTCATGATATTTGTCCTTACAAAATGGTTTGCTTATCTCTATTGCGGATTAGGATTTCTCTTGTGAGTTTGGTTCTTATTGAGATGTCAATTGCAAACTTGTACTATGCTAAGCTTATTTCATAATCACTGGGTCCAAGCTTGATTGAGTCTTTCAAAACATTTGGTGGGAAATCCTACCATTTACAAATACTACAGTCACAGCAGTAATTGGTTTTGGGAACACCTCATCTCAAGAATGTTTGTTTGGGATGACACTCTCAAACACTTGGACACTTTCAAAAATAAACCAGCCTGTCTGATGTTTGCAATAGCATGAAACCCAGGGTCACAAATTCAAATCTATACAACTGAATATATATATATATATATATATATATATATATATATATATATATATATATATATGTGTGTGTGTAAAATATATAGAAAATAGGAAAGAATTCGTTAGGTAAATAATCCAAAGTTCTTGAGTATTTTTGCTATTATTTTTAAAAAATAGTGCTCGATACAAAAGTAGAGCATAAATATAATTATTTATTTAAAAATATGATTCCAACGCTACATAAGAGTTCTCATGTTTCAAAACAAGAGCCAAAAACTTCAATATAATTATTTGAATTAAATTGAATTAAAATATATATATATATATATATATATATATATATATATATATATATATACACAAGCTTCATTTCCAATATCATATGTGGTTCCTCATTGGTCATCAATTGAGACTGAGAAACTCCTTCATTAAATCAATCTCATGATGTATACCATAACTTCTTGTGATTGTCATTGAGTTTGATCCCTACCTTCTGACCTAACTGGCTTGGTTGGTCGTGAAAGGAGTAATACTCCTGGCTGTATAACTCATTGGGATTGGAAAAAAACAACTACGTCACCACAAAAAGGTGACAATCATTGGCCAAAACATACATTTAATCATTCACAAATGAGTACACTGAAACAGATAAAATCAAGTACAGAATAAAGAAAATAATATCAGAAAACTTCTATGTTGTCTTCTTCACTGAACTTCATCCATGTTATCTGACCATTTGGCTAAAAGGAATCAGATATGGTATTATTGAGACATTTTGACTGAATTTCACTCTTAACCCTTTCATTTTTTTTTCCTTTCTTTGTCTATCACTAGTTCAAAATATGTCTCTTCTCTTCTCTTAAATGCCTACTGAGGAAGCAAATTCTCTTTTTTTTTTTTTTTTTTTTTTCCAAATTGGTGACTTAGATGTTCAAGAAATCTTCTTAGGCAACATTCAGGCCAGTAGATGAAAATAAATAAATATACTGTTCATTATATAACCGAACCATTTACTCGAAGATAAATATCCACTAAAAATGTTTGAAGTGATAAAAAAAAAAGGAAAATCTGTTGGTTTAATAAATAAAAAATCCATTCTAAAATTTTCTTTGTTTCTGTTTGGATACAAAAACTGTGCAGGTATAAGAAACTTTGAAAAATTCTATGATTAGAGAAATTTTGAATAAAGGCAGAAAAAAATTTACCTAGCCGGACCAAAAGTTTTTTCATGGTTAAGTTGGTCAGAGCATGTGCAAGATTTTCTTTAATAAGATTACTTGAACATTCAGGCAGGTAGGGGAAAATAAATAAATAAATATACTGCTTAGTAAATAAACAGAGCACATACTCAAATATGAGTATTCACTAAAAATAATGTTTGAACTGATAAAAAAAGATATATATATATATATGAGAGAGAGAAAAAAAATGTAATTTCACAATGCTGATACATGTTGCTGAAATGACTTATTACAATCTAATGTGTTGTTCAAATGAAAGGTAATGCCCAGTTTTAAAACAATATGCTGCTTAAATTATATTTGATATTTTTTTTATATTTCTTCCTTTGATGATGATTTATGCAAGTTGGAATCTTGGACACAATGCAAATTTTGGCTATTTTTATAATCTGCAACAGTCACATTTACAAATAATTATAAACATATCAGTAAAAGAAAGTTGAAATTTTTTTTCATTTTTTTATTTATTTATTTTTTTTTTGGTACAATAAGGTTCATCCAGTACAAGGGTCAGGAGCCATTCAAGGTAGAGGGTTATGTTAGGAGGGAGTTTGTATAAATACGAGGTGTATGGTAAAAGTTTACCTGAAACTTGAGATTGTAGTGATCAGGAAAACATCATCTTGGGAGTCTGTTCCACAGAGTAGTGGATCATGGAAAGAAGCTATTCAAGTGGAACTCACTTCTCATCAATGGAACATAGAGGGAATGTGGGTGATTTGCTACAATGTGGCATGGCAGGTCCTTGTCGAAGGTTAGGCTGGCTGGAATCAAGGAATGCAGTTTGTCCAAACACTTTCTATGAAGGTAGCGATAGAGCAGCGAGAGGCTTTCCACATCCTGCCTGTGAGATAGGTTTGGGAGGGGGAATAATTCATCATCCACAGGGGCTCAAAGATGTTTTTGAACTCTGAGGCTGTAAAGTACGGTCTGGGCTGCTCCTGTCCAAATATGACAACGGTACTCAATTTTTGGCCTGATCTGGCTCTTAAAGGTAGAGAATAGCATGTGGAGTCTGGTACTTACTGGAGCAGTACAAGGATCTGATCACTTTGCCTGCATCTTTAGTGATGGCTTGTATGTATGAGTTCCAATTGGTGTCAGGTGTGAGTAAAGGCCCAATAGTCTCTCAAAGCATGGTGCTTCTCTGAGGGAAGATCCATTCATCATGAATGTCAGTAGTTCTGTGTCCAATTGATGGTGGTGAAATTTAACTAGTTTGGTTGTCGAGGGATAGAATGACAAAAGTATAGTTTTCAGGTACACTATATTTATGGGTTAAAAGTGCTCAATATCAGGGATAGAGTTTATGTAAATATATGACCTGACAGTTGCATCAAAGCATGAAATAGACAGTTGTCATTGGGTGTTGGCATCAATGTCCATATATACACATAGACACACACATACACACAATAAATGCTAATTTCACACTTTTTCAACTTTACTCCTTCAGTCTGTAGCCCAACATTGAACATTTTGGAATCATCAGGCCAGTGTTATGAGCAAATTAAAAACATTCCAAGTCAGATTCATGCCCACAATTTTGGATTCCCAAGTTTTCATTACTGTGATTGTTTTGGATAATTTTTTGCATGATTTGTTTTGCGACAGATTTATTTTGTAGAATAACAGTTTTTATAATTTGGAAATAAATTTGTGAATAATCAAAATTAATTTTGAAATCCACCAAAAGTCACCCATGAAATAAAAATAATTGTTTGTATGGAAAGTAAGGACCTACATACATCAAATTGTCTTTAAATTAAGTGGCAGCAGGAAATCATCATTGAACCTTTTAAAAGGTTAGCTTAAATAATAATGCAATACTTAAATGCAGTGATAAATTTTGAGTTCTCCAGTTTATTGTTGCTTATCGCATCTACTCCTCCCTACTTACTGTGATGAAGGCCTAATCAAGCAGCCTCTAGCTTAAATGCTGCCCAATAGGGTAACTTTTAAGCTAGTGTGTGTGCGTATATATATATATATATATATATATATATATATATATATATTCAGTTGTATGGATATGAATTTGTGACACTGGGTTTCATGGTTTTGCAAACATCAGACAAACTGGTTTATTTTTTAAGGTGTTTGAGAGTGTTTCCCCCAAATAAACATAGAAGCATATTCCCTGTTCCACCACCAAACATATTCAAACAAGCATAAATAGATTTTTAAAAAAGAAGCCACTTTGTCTGATGATTGTGAAAGCCAGTGTAACAAACTCATATCTATACAAATGAATATATATATATATATATATATATATATATATATATATATATATATATATATATATATACACACACACACACACAGGTCTTTAGACAAGTTGTCTGTTGGAATGTTTCTGTATTTTCTTATATATACTGATATTGAGTGTTTTCCATTAAGTACTGTGCATATAAAACAATATATACACACACACACACTTGTTTGTTGTTAGATCAATATGTAATTAGCTAAATTTTGATTTTAAATAATCGCTGCATAGCGTTTGATCTGTGATATTCTCAATAGATGGTTATTAAAGGAGATTGTTCTGAAAAATATTTGTATGTACGTAGATGTATGCATACATGCATATATATCTATGTAATTGTTTAAAAATAGCTGAACTTGCTAGGAAGAGTGCTTGATGATTGTCATTTCCACACCTCAGTGTGATCTTCATCAATATCAAGAGTCTAAAACTCAGGGACACAAAAGGGGCCATTACATGCTGAGGGAGAATTGAAGCAAGCCTGTCACTAGGGTGTTAGCAATGGTAGGGAGGACATCAACTTCAGATAGTACAAACTGTTAGAAGTGCATTGTCTTGCATTAAAATTAGTGCACATCACCTTCACATATGTGGATGGAGTGCCAAAATTTTCAGGATGTGTGAGTCAGCTTTCCCTAATATTAGTTGTCAAATTTATTTCGTATAAAGTTTAAAAAAAAGAAAGAGATTATCATTGCAAAGTATGATTTTTACCCTCCCATCAGCTAGCTGATGATGAATACTTGTGATGGGGAAGCCACCCCCCCTTCCTTGGAGAGGAACTTGAACAGACCTTCTGACCTTAAAATGGTTGTCTGTTTGCACTTCATGAGTAGGACAAATTCAGTACTGATACTAGAAGGGGTGGGAGCAAATTTGTGGAAGTTTGAGGAAAACATTCATCACAAAAAAGGTTCTCAGTATGACACAGACCATAGGCCACGTGTGGCCTATGGTCTATTTTTTTTTTCCTGTTCTTTGTCTTTACTTTCTGTTTTTGTTTTTTTCTCTTCTAATTTCATTTTTTCTCTTTCTGTTTCACTTTACATTTTTTTTTTTCTATTCCCCTTCCCTTTTCGTTCTTTTTCCATTGCTCTTTGCCTTTCGTTCTTTTTCCATTGCTCTTTCTTTGCTTTTTCCATTGTTCTTTTTTTTTCCATTGCTCTTTTGCCTTTCGTTTTTTTTTCCATTGCTTTTTGCCTTTCGTTCTTTTTTCCATTGCTCTTTGCTTTTTTCGTTCTTTTCCATTGCTCTTCGCCTTTTCGTTCTTTTTCCATTGCTCTTCGCCTTTTCGTTCTTTTTCCATTGCTCTTTGCCTTTTCGTTCTTTTTCCATTGCTCTTTGCCTTTTCGTTCTTTTTCCATTGCTCTTTGCCTTTTTCGTTTTTTTTTCCATTGCTCTTTGCCTTTCGTTCTTTTTCCATTGCTCTTTGCCTTTCGTTCTTTTTCCATTGCTCTTTGCCTTTCGTTCTTTTTCCATTGCTCTTTGCCTTTCGTTCTTTTTCCATTGCTCTTTGCCTTTCGTTCTTTTTCCATTGCTCTTTGCCTTTCGTTCTTTTTCCATTGCTTTTCGCCTTTCGTTCTTTTTCCATTTCATCAAATATATTGGGACAATATACATGAGAAATTACTACTTACATATCTGTAATTACATCACTGTAGCCTAAAAAATGAAAAAATAATTTTATGCAAATATTTCTCTTTCAATATTATCTTTCATGTCAATGCATTTACTTTACACATTGCTCAAGCAAGCATTATACATTAAAAATTTCAGATTAAAATTCAGCTCGAAATTGTGTGTTAGGCTATGGATTTATTGACATACCTACTTACGCCAAACAGAATACAAAATGGCTTCTAACTAACATAGCCATTAAATTTTAGTCAGTGTGATGATTATGAAAACTTGAAAATAGCTGTGTTCGCTTGCAGCTGTTCGTGACTAGAATTTCCGGAATATTTGATGAAGCCTGAAATGATATGAAAAGAATCTTGACTTTCCTTTTTAAACTTATGAGACACTGATTTACAGTTTCTCTGAAGCTATGTCTGAACAAAATTTTAAAGATATCATCCTCAGAGGCATGAAAAACATCTTGCTGTTGATTGAATAAAGAATTGCAGTAAAGGAAACTTACGACAAATTTTTTTTTTGAAAAGATAAAAATTAATTAATTGTGCTTTAAAATATTTTATTTCTCTCTCTTTCTATACATTTTCTTTTTTGCCACTGACAAAAGTAGATAATATTCCATTCATAAATTTGAAAAAGAAAATCTTATGTTGCTTTTTAGAAACATAAAATTGACAGGTCTCGTACTCATTATTTCATTCTATAATTCTTTTGTTCTATCCTTTGTTTGATTTTCTAGATAGCTTTGTCTAAACTTTCACTTCTTTGTTAGTTTATGGGTTTCTTTTCATTATGTCCTCTCTTTGACTTGATTGGCTGCTCTCTCTCTCTTTCTGCACACACACACACACACACACACACACCTTCTTTACAGTCCCCCTCTCTTTCATTGCAGTCCCCCTCTCTATCTCTCGTTACGGTTTCCCTCCCCTCTCTCTCTCTCTCTCTCGTTGCGGTTTCCCTCCCTCTCTCTCTCTCTCTCTCGTTGCGGTTTCCCTCTCTCTCTCTCTCTCGTTGGTTTCCCTCTCTCTCTCTCTCTCGTGCGGTTTCCCTCCCTCTCTCTCTCGTTGCGGTTTTCCCTCCTCTCTCTCTCGTTGCGGTTTCCTCCCCCTCTCTCTCTCTCTCGTTGCAGTTTCCTCCCTCTCTCTCTCTCTCTCGTTGCGGTTTCTCCCTCTCTCTCTCTCTCTCGTTGCGGTTTCCCTCCCTCTCTCTCTCGTTGCGTTGGTTTCCCTCCCTCTCTCTCTCGTTGCGGTTTCCCTCCCTCTCTCTCTCGTTGCGGTTTCCCTCCCTCTCTCTCTCGTTCTTGGTTTCCTCCCTCTCTCTCTCTTCCCGGTTTCCCTCCCTCTCTCTCTGGGTGCCAGTTTCCCTCCCTCTCTCTCGTTCTGGTTTCCTCCCCTCTCTCTCTCGTTGCGGTTTCCTCCCTCTCTCTCTCGTTCAGTTTCCCTCCCTCTCTCTCTCGTTGCAGTTTCCCCCTCTCTCTCTGTTCTGGTTTCCCTCCCTCTCTCTCTCGTTGTGGTTTCCCTCCCCCTCTCTCTCTCTCTCTCTCTCTCGTTCTTGTTTCCCTCCCTCTCTCTCTCTCTCTCGTTGGTTTCCCTCCCCTCTCTCGTTCTGCAGTTCCCCTCCCCTCTCTGGTTGTGGTTTCCCTCCCTCTCTCGTTCTTGGTTTCCCTCCCTCTCTCGTTGCGGTTTCCCTCCCTCTCTGGTTTGCGGTTTCCTCCTCTCTCTCTCTTTACGGTTCCCCTCTCTCTTTACAGTTCCCCTCTCTCTTTACAGTTCCCCTCTCTCTTTACAGTTCCCCTCTCTCTTTACAGTTCCCCTCTCTCTTTACAGTTCCTCTTTACAGTTCCCCTCTCTCTTTACAGTTCCTCTTTCTGGCCCCTCTCTCTCTTTACAGTTCCTCTCTTTTTCTTTACAGTTCTTCTTGTTCTTTACAGTTCTTCTTGTTCTTTACACTTCTTCTCTCTTTACAGTCCTCTCCCTCCCTCTCTCTCTCTCAGCTCTCCAATTCCTTCCTTTTTATTTGTCTGTTTCTCTGCTTCCTCTCTCTATCTGGTAAATCTTTGTGAGTTATAATTTTTTTTTAGTATTTAGAAATGAAATACTAAATTATGAAAAGCAGTAAAAAAAAAAAACCCATCATGTCAAAAACCATTTTTTTTTTTTTTTTTTTTTTTTAAACAATTCCATCCCAAGCAAAGCAGGAAGCCACTAGCACACAAGGGGCTGCAAAGAGGAGTGATGGAGGAAAGGATGAAGAGAAGGTTAGGGGATAGATCAGGGCATCTGGAGACGTCAATTGACATTTGAATAGTTGGAGATTATAGCTATTGGGAAAACATTGAATATAAAAGGCTCCTAAACACACACAGCTAATACCCTTCGGGGGAAAGTGGTGTAGCAGATACAGGAGTTGGTCATACATGTTAGTGTCATTTATCATGAGATCAATCCTTGGATCTTGTAGAGATGCACCAATTCAAAAGGAACACACAATAACTGATATCAACAGGACAAAATATCACAATAATCAACTGATATCCCATATCAGCCAATTAATGTACACCTGATGATCAGAGTGTACTCAGTCAAAACATTGTGTCTATAATAATATCAGAACAATAATTAAAAAGAATAGAATAAATTTTTTTCTCCTCTCTCTCATACTCTCCCATTATCTCTATTTCCTGCCCACTCTCTGTTATATGTTTTCTTTTTTTCGAGTTTTATATCCTGCCCACTCTTGCCCTCTGTGTGTGTCTGTGTTTTTTTTGTTTTTGATGTCTCCCTACTTACTGTGATCAAGCAGCCTCCACTCTGTCTCTGTTTCTTTGCTGATTTAATCCCGCCCTCTCTCGATTTCTTTGCCAATTTTATCCCACCCTTCTACTATTTCTTTGCTGATTTCTCACCATCCTTTCTCTATTTCTTTCATGTATATCTCCTGCCCATTTTGTCTTTCCCCACTCTGCCTGCCCATTTTGTCTTTCCCCACTCTGCCTGCCCATTTTGTCTTTCCCCCACTCTGCCTGCCCATTTTGTCTTTCCCCCTCTGCCTGCCCATTTTGTCTTTCTTTCCCCACTCTGCCTGCCCATTTTGTCTTTCCCCCACTCTGCCTGCCTGTCTTTCTTTCCCCACTCTGCCTGCCTGTCTTCTTTTCCCCACTCTGCCTGCCTGTCTTTCTTTCCCCACTCTGCCTGCCTGTCTTTCTTTCCCCACTCTGCCTGCCTGTCTTTCTTTCCCCACTCTGCCTGCCTGTCTTTCTTTTCTGCCCCACTCTGCCTGCCTGTCTTTCTTTCCCCCACTCTGCCTGCCTGTCTTTCTTTTCCCCCACTCTGCCTGCCTGTCTTTCTTTCCCCCCTCTGCCTGCCTGTCTTTCTTTCCCCACTCTGCCTGCCTGTCTTTCTTTCCCCCACTCTGCCTGCCTGTCTTTCTTTCCCCACTCTGCCTGCCTGTCTTTCTTTCCCCCACTCTGCCTGCCTGTCTTTCTTTTCCCCCTCTGCCTGCCTGTCTTTCTTTCCCCACTCTGCCTGCCTGTCTTTCTTTCCCCACTCTGCCTGCCTGTCTTTTTTTCCCCACTCTGCCTGCCTGTCTTTGTTTTCCCCACTCTGCCTGCCTGTCTTTTTCTTCCCCCCCTCTGCCTGCCTGTCTTTCTTCCCCCCCTCTGCCTGCCTGTCTTTCTTTCCCCACTCTGCCTGCCTGTCTTTCTTTCCCCACTCTGCCTGCCTGTCTTTCTTTCCCCACTCTGCCTGCCTGTCTTTCTTTCCCCACTCTGCCTGCCTGTCTTTCTTTCCCCACTCTGCCTGCCTGTCTTTCTTTCCCCACTCTGCCTGCCTGTCTTTCTTTCCCCACTCTGCCTGCCTGTCTTTCTTTCCCCACTCTGTCTGTCTTTCCTGGCTTTTATATCCTGCCTTTTTCACTCATAGTAGTTCTTTGTGTCTTAGTGGCATTATCACCTTACTTGGGATAAAATCATTAAAAAAGAAAAGAAGCAAAATATTTGGGTACATTCTCTACAAAAGTAGATTTACATAAATGTTGTTAACAATAAGTAGATGTCAGCTCAGCATTTATTTTTTTTATTTTAGAATAAAAGGCTGTTTGATGAAAAGGAGAAGCCCCTACAGAAAAAAGTGGGAGAGCTTCAGTCCCAGGTTTTGAAATTGGAGCGGAAGACTATGATATTGAAGTCAGAGAATGAATCATTGGTAAGTATTAATTAATATTGTTATGGCTGGTATTAAAGCATTTCAATCATGGAAGTACAGAAATTTATCCATCTAGTAAATGTTATAACAGATGACAGAAAATGTGACATAGAAATCAAAAAGGGAACTGAAATAACAAAAGATGCCTTCTCAAAGCAAAACAATGAATTAAGATAAAAGAAAATTTCATTAGAAACAAAGAAAAGAGTGCTGAACTGCTATGTAATAGCTAATCTCTTATATGGCAGTGAATGCTGGACACTTTCTTCACAATTTAAGAGACTTGAAGCAACGGAGATATAGCAACTATTAGCAAAAGACCTTAGGAACAAAGAAGAGTTCTGAACAGCCATGTAATATCTAATTTCCTATATGGCAGTAAATGCTGGATATTTTCATCATAAATGAAGTTTAGTGTTCAAATGTGGTTCTCTTCAGAAGGATGCTGAGAATACCATAGATGGAACATATGAGCAACGAGGAAGTTTTAAGGAAAATGGGAAGTAAAAGGACATTTTCTGTTCAGGACCAAAAAAAGACGGTTGAAATTTCTGGGACACAAAATGAGGAACAGAAGACTTTGAGAATTTGGCACTCACAGAATATTAAATGCGAAAAAAAAAAAAAGGCAGGGAAAATATCTCCCTCATGAGATTGTGAGAATAGCTGGAAAAACTGGGACTAGGAGGGATAGTAAGGGGACAAATACTAAGTTTGAGATAGGAATGGATAGGAAGTTGTGGTGAGCCATGACCAACCGCACTAAAGGATGCTCATGCTCCCATTTTTGGGATAATGGGCATTAATGGGTTATAGCTAGAAATATAATTAATATTATTTTTTCTTCTTCAAAAAACTATAATAAATACTTCAATTGTTACAGATATACTTGTACATCTTTACATAACTTACATTGCCTCCTGTTGATATATACATCCTTGTGCAAATCAATTGAAACAACCACTTTAATTTCCTTTTCTTTTACCATACTGTCACTGGAGTGACAGGCTATAGTTTAGTTTCCTTTTCTTTTACCATACAGTCACTGGAATGACGGGGTGTAATTTAGTTTCCTTTTAGTTAACCATACAGTCACTGGAATGATGGGGTGTAACTTAGTTTTCTTTCACCATACAACCACTGGAGTGACAGAGTGTAATCAATTTCTGTTGTTGCTTCAGATTAAGTCATTTGCAGTGGTATGCAGTAATATGAATCTATATTTGTGGTGTGTGATGAAATTTGTTTGGCCTTGAAAAATATTGCATCATCCGTGATTGCATCAGATTTTTATCACACTCAGACACTATTGTCCTGACTGTCAATTAGTTGTCCTATGGCCATTCTATGGACATTACTGCAAGAAAGCATATGAAAATTTGTAATTCTGCAAATCAAAGTACTAAACTGGCCTGGAAACTATTTTGATTTAAATCCAATTGAGAATCTCTGGTCAATCTGCATGGAACGATTTTGCGGAATAGACACACAAAATACTAATATGTGCACTGGGTCATGTTTCATTGAAAAAATATGAAAAAAGTAAATAACAACAGAATTATTTGTTTTGTTTCAATTAATTTGCACAAGTTTATATATATATATATATATATATATATATATATATATATATATATATTCTGTCTATACATTATTTTAATAGATAAAGCTTTACAAAGCTGACATTGCCTGCTGTTAACATATATATACATTTTCAAGATGTACTTATACATCTTTATGATGTTGCCTGTTGTTTACATATAGTGCGGTGCAAAAGTAAGTGAACCCCTAAAATAATATTTAAAATAATTCTCTTTTTTTTTTTTTCCAGATAATGAACAAATCTTAAACTATATATTTGTTAAGAAAAACCTTGAATAAAAAAAATAAATTACAACTACTTTCAAAGATTTTTATCAAGCTGGAATAAAAATGTTAATTAAAAATTAAAGCAACCTTTACATTTACGCTTTGTATTTTGGTCTTACATGGTTGTCAGTGCAAATAATCTTTTATGCACATCTAAAAATCAAATTGATACATTTTCATTATTTGGTAAGCTGTGTATATTGCAGTCAAACAATATAACTCATTGTGTTTACCAAAGTGTGTAGTTCAAGATTAAATTTTAAAAATATATATATGCAAAGATCAAAAGAACTTCCTGAAACTTCAAAAATCATATAGTTGAAACCTATAATCATGGAGAAGGCTACAAAAAGCTATCAAAATGATTTGGAGTGCACTTCTTCACTATGCAGCAAATTATTTATAAATGGAAGGCCTTTGGTATGACAGCATCACAATCAAGAAGTTACTGTCCACAAAAAATAACAGCAAGAGCAAATAGACATCTAGTTCAGCAAGCCCGGGCAAATCTTGTGAAGATCTTTGAGATTCTCCAATGCTCACTGGCCAATATCAGAATCACTGTGCATACATCTACAGTGCGCTGAGATCTGAACAATGGTGATCTTCATAGAAGAATGTCTAGAAAAAAAAAATCATTGCTTATGAAATAGCACAAACGTCCTCACCTCAGCTAAAACTTATATTAATAAGCTAGAAATCTGGCAAAATGTTTTATGGACAGATGAGACCAAACTAGAGTTTTTTGGGAGGAACAATAAGTGGTATATCTGGTGAGTTCCTCATATGGCTTTTGAAGAGAAGAATTTGATACCAAGCATTAATCATGGTGGTGACAGCATTATGATTTGGGGGTGCTTTGCTTCAGCTGGAACAGGTAACATTGTGCACAATGATGGCATAATAGACTCTGCAAGATACCAAGAAATTTTGATTTTAGATTGGGGCTGGAACTTCCAACAGGACAATGATCTGAAGCATCAAAGCAAATCCACAAAGAATAGATTCGCAAAAAGAAATTTCAAGTAATAGAACAACCTAGTCAAAGTCCTGATATAAACCTAATTGAAAATCTGTGATTCAAGTGAAAGAAGGCAATGCATGCAAGAAACCCATTTAAAATCAAGCAATTGTAGGAATTTTGTCAAAAATTAGCACTCAATATTGCCAGAAACTTCTTTAAAATTATAGAAAAAGACTGACATTGTAAAATCAAAAGAAGCAATCCCCAAATATTAAATGTCAAGGTTCAATTGCTTTTTCACATCTTAATTTTTAATTAATATTTTTTATTTCAGATTGATATAAAAAAAGTTTTGAATGTGGTTGTAATTGATTTAATAAAGGCTTTTCTTAAAGAATGTATAGTTTGTTTTGTTGATCATCTGGAAAAAGAATTTTTTTAAAAATATGTTAAGGGTTCACTTATTTTTGAACAGCACTGTATATATACATTTTAAAGATATTCTTATACAACTTTATGAAACTTACATTGCCTGCTGTTGGCATACATACACATTTTCAAGATATACTTCTGTGAGATTCACGTTGCCTGCTGTTGATGTGTACATCTTGAAAATGTATGTATATGTCAACAGCAGGCAGTGTACATTTCATAAAAATGTACAAGCACATCTTGAAACTGTATGTCTTTATGGAACTTACATTGACTGCTGCTGACACATATATATATATATATATATATATATATATAGCATAATGAGAAGCCACGTATACTTTCTTAATATGTATATATAGAAAAAGTTGCAAATTAAAAAAATGTTTTATTTTATGAAAGTATTTATTTATTTATATATATATATTTGATATTTCAAATTGTCCTCAATCTTTCATCAGAAATAACTGTTACAAATAAATTAAAATTACTGTTTGTTAGCAAGTAGCATCCTTCGCGAGACGCGGACATCGTAATATGGAACATCACTGTTTGGATATTCCTAACTTAAATCTAACTGTCATA